TTAATATCAACCTATTTGAATTGGTTTTAAATCATGTTGATAGTGATATTAACGAGAAATCATATTAAAGTTGATATGTATTGAGGGAATTTTGATATATAAAAATTTATAAATATTTGTTTTGTGGCTTAGGTTGATATTGACGGTGTAACCTGTATTTGTTTTTATACTACCAGTTTGAGAATCTCATTATACAAAATATTTCTACGTACGATTTCTTTGTTGGTAACAAATAGGCAATGTTGCGGCTTATGAGAATATATAAAATCGCAATTTAAAACACATAAGCATAAAGAAACTTGCAAAATAACTAAAATATACCAAGAAACAACCTGTAACCATGAGAGATAAGCAAATTTGTCATTCTCAATAGCGACTTATTGATACGTATTTCAAACGCTTAATTGACATAGTTTTTGCATATTCAAATCAGATATAGATCCATCTTGTTTAGGGAGATTGAGGGTTTATATGGTTTCACAGAAATCGACAACATATAAGTAATTCTCGTTTATCTGTTATTGAATAAATATTTATCATTGATCTTAAAAAAAAACATTTGAAGTTTAAATACTAAGAATTGTTCTAAAATCATTTAATCATGCCTGAACAAATTAAAGAGTTAATTGATAAAAATCATAAATGGGCAGAGGCTAAGAAAGCTAAAGATCCTGATTATTTTAAAAATATTGCGAAAAAACCTCAGAAACCGAAATTTATTTGGATAGGTAAGATAATATAGACTAGGTGCTGCAAAAAAGGGTTAAATTGACAAAATTTTCAAACTAATTTTTTTTGTACAAATCAATTTAAAATAAGATCAGAATCATTTTCACTTAAAAAAACAAAGCAGTTAAACTAATAAAATTTTGCAGCATAGCTATTTTAAAGTTTGTATTTTCTTATGATTTATTATAGTTTATTACCCATTTTTGCAGCACCAAGTCCATATCTATTTTAATATTCATGAAAATGAATCCTTTTGTTATATGCCTGCAAGTTATTATGGATAATTTATACTACAGATGTAATTATTCATATGTAACAGGCAGATATATAACTAATTAATCAATATTACAAATAAGTAAAATATTCATCTAATTTTAAATTGCTTGATTCAAAGGTTGCTCCGACAGCAGATTGCCACCCGAAATAATAACTAAATCGGATCTTGGAGAAATTTTTGTTATTCGAAATATCGCTAATCAATTTCATACCACTGACTTAAGTGTATTGTCAATATTTGAATATGCAATAAACCATCTTCACGTCAAACAAATAGTTGTTTGTGGTGCGTGGCAAACTTTTTCATATTTTTTTAAAAATTATTAAATATTATTAAATATTATTAATATATTAAAAGTACACTATAATAATATTTTTACATTATAGGCCATTACATGTGTGGTGGTGTTAAAGCGTCAATTAGTAAGTATTTAAAAGGAAGTTCTTATTCTACAAATCGAAATATTTTAAGGACTTACATCTTTTTATCTATACAGCGAACAATGATGATAGTGTCATTGACCATTGGCTGCAAGTAGTGTTGTTAGGCAAAACCTAGAGGTTTTGCCATTGGCAAAAGTCAAAACTAGTTTCGACTTTTGCCAAAAAAA